TGGGACATTGTAAGATTTGCAAGGTAATTATATTAATTTAAACAATAAAAAAAATCACATCTAAAAATCTTCTTTGTCATATCCAACAATAAAGACGCAATATATATCTATAACTTTTACAATATCTACACGTTGTTTCCAGGGGTGTAACTAAAAAATAAAATTAAGTGGGGTTTAGATTTAAATTGTTTTATAATTTAAACTAAAACTATAAATACTATTAAAGGAAAGGTTGAAAAGCAAATTACTTGCAGGAGCCGGGGCCCTGCCAGCCCTCTGTCTTCGCCCCTGGTTGTTTCAGTGTTCCCTTTGTATTTTATTATTTACTTTTCAAAACAAATAGCTTGTCAGGGCAAAAACTGCAGCCACATTAATGGTTAGTTTTTGTTAAAATTACTTATTAAAAAAAGGGATAAAAATATGTTTGATTAAAAGAAAGACAGAAAAATAAGATAAATTTGTTTCTTAAATAATTTTAAAATAAATCCTTAAAATTTCAAAATAAAATGGATTAGAAAATATGTTCTTTTTGTTTCTGTCATCTTCGTCTTTTTTATCCTAAAAGTGTGTGTATAAAACCCAAGCGTCCAGACAAGTTTACTAAAACATATGTTGTTTGAGCCTTGGAGGACTAGCATTTCTACATCAAATTAATTTTTTTTGTAAACGCACCTTATGCTTTGACCAATATAGTTGCGACGAGTTCTGTTGCTCCTTGAACATAAAATGAAAAAAAAATTAAATAATTTCAAACCCATAAAAATATATCAATCTTTGGTGCGTTAAAAATTCATTATATAATTTCAATTTATGTTTCATCAACAACTATATTAAGATCATATTTTAATGATAAAAAAAAAATAACATGCCCACCAGCATCGGCTTGTGCTGCCAAGCTTAGATGTTTAACTTGATTTTCGATGGGCGAGGCATGCTGGGCCTCCTAGCCTTTCACAACTCATCCATTTTGTCTATTTTTTTTAAGCATTAAAAAAAAAAGTGATGGAAGAGTTTCTAACTTAAATTTTTTAAAAAATTTCAAATTTTTTATCATCTTATTTTTACTGTTTTTATTCATTTTTATACTTTAATTTTTTTTTCAAATTTAAAATTTAAATTTATCTTATTAAAAGATATTTAAGTTAAATAATTTTTGGTTCAAAAAATTTATTCAGAAACATATCTAAATCGAGATCGAGGTAGTCTTGTTGAAATAGTAAAAAATAATAAATATTTTAAGAACAAATAATTCATCATTGATAAGAATATAATTAACATTCATTACTTTAAAGTGATTCAATAAATAAATATTTTTTTTTATTTTAATTTAAATATATTTTTAAAAATATTTGTCTTGAGTTTATAAATTTAAATATTATAAGCTCTAGTTTTTTTTTATAGGGAATTGTTGGTTTAACATATATTTATGATGACAAACCACCTATTCATACTAATTATTTTTAAAGTATAATCTTGCTATAATAAACTAAATATATTTGCATAGTCTTCGAGACACACACACATACCAATCCTAGCAACCACTAATTGCAAAGGCCCTTTCTCACTGAAAAACCTAAAAAAATTACTGCACGGACCATATTAATAAATGGTAATTTTCTTTTCGTAGGTTAGACAAGCAAAACATTTTACGGAGGGGGTCCGAGTTTTGGAACAGTCTAAATAATTCAGCCCCACGTGTGATGCTACCATAGGTTACAAGCATTTCAATATTAATTCGTAAACTTACCTAACCGCCATGCCGTTATGGCCCTAAATTAAATGCAACGTGTGCCCTGTCTTCCCCCGTGAAGTCGGCGAAGGAGGAAAAATCAAATTACCCATAAATCTTCTTGAAGCCAGATTTGGGAAATTCCTTTCAATTCCCAAATTATTGTCGTCACTTGCCTCTGCGCCATTTGTGTTCATTGTTCAAAAATCCAAAAGTAGTTATAAAGTGAATTGGTTAGGAACATGGGGCTTGTAGGCAACCAGACACCATTGATGGTTGCAAACAGCATCACTAGTTTCTTGTAAGAATTAAAAAGGTACTTTAGAGTGTATTAATAATTATTTTTAAAAAATATTTTTTTATGAAAATAATATATATTTTTTATTTTTTAAAAAAATCACTAGTTTCTTGTAAGAATTAAAAAGGTGTTTGAAAGTGTATTAATAATTATTTTTTAAAAATATTTTTTTTATAAAAATAATATATTTTTTTATTTTTTAAAATTATTTTTAATATCAACACACGATACAATTACATAAAAAAATAATTTTAAAACAAAATTTCAAAATTTGCCCAATCCCCATTTGAAAAGCAATAACAAATGAGGGATAAGCAAAACCCCGTTACTCTAAGAGAGAGAGGTGGTTTTTTATTTTTTTTCTTGTAAAATAAAAGGACCCATTGCTTACAAATTTCTAATTTTTATCCATTAATCTATGATATAGAAAGTGATGATATGAGCTGGCTAATACTGCAAGGATTGAATTAAAAACTTCACGAGATGAAGGATCTTATTTAATAAAACCAATAGTTTAGAGACCGTCGAATTTCTTAAGGGAGTGTTTGGGGGGTGGGCATGGAGTAAACTCGGTGGCGCGTGTAACACGCAAACTAATGATGCATATTTTTTATTTTTTAAAAAAATATTTTCAATATCAACACATTAAATCGAATCGATGCAATTACATAAAAAAATTAATTTTAAAATAAAATTTCAAAATTTGCCCAATCCCATTTGGAAAGCAATGCCAAATGAGGGCTAAGCAAAACCCGGTTACTTTAAGAGAGAGAGGTGATTTTTTATTTTTTTCTTGTAAAATAAAAGGACCCATTGCTTACAAATTTCTAATTTTTATCCATTAATCTATGATATAGAAAGTGATGATATGAGCTGGCTAATACTGCAAGGATTGAATTAAAAACTTCACGAGATGAAGGATCTTATTTAATAAAACCAATAGTTTAGAGACCGTCGAATTTCTTAAGGGAGTGTTTGGGGGGTGGGCATGGAGTAAACTCGGTGGCGCGTGTAACACGCAAACTAATGATGCTTAAGACCACCTCCCACCAAACGGGTACCTGTGAGCTGCCACACCAACCGCACGCTCCTCCTCTAATGAATTCCGAGAAAACCATTTCTAACTTCCACCGTACCAACTCCCTCATTTTTTAACCTCACTCGCACTCAAATCATTACCCCCCCTCCTCTAACCTTCGCATCCCCACGTGGCTCTCTCTAATTCGCCTAGAGTCCGGCGCTTTATCCCAACGGCCTCTTAATCCTCATAACGGCGCCGTCAAGCTCCCCGTTACAGATTTCCCGTCGCTGTTAACGGACTCTGGACCACCCACCCAGAAAATTAAAAAAAATAAAATAAAATCAATTCCATCCCTTAAATACCACCAAATCAATCCCTTCCGTCAACAAACACACCCACACCAACAGCAAAATATCAGAGACTGCGAAGCTCTAGCAATACTACAAGTGGCCGTAGGGAGAGCGATTGGAAAACTAGCAATGGTGAAAGTTGCTACTGCTCAAGTTGGGGTGACAAGTAGTAGAGCTTCGGCGCAAACTTCAAAGAGAAGATCAAGGCATATCAGGATTTCTATTGAATTTAGAAGCAATGATAGTAACCACCGTCGTCGCCGCCGCCGCCAAGACGTTATAATTAGGTCTGAAAATCCAGTTCCATGTAAACCAGATGCTAATTCCGGTGACCGGACGGTGACTGAAGAGAGATATTCAACTTCAAGCCCTAAGTTGGAAGACGATGATGATGATGATGCATTAATGTCAGCTTCTTGTTGTTCTAGTAATGGATCGTGTGATGATGAGAGGATTAAATTCACAGATCTGGAGGTGAGAATTACATCAATTCTCCCTTCTTCAATTCTTGAATTAATTTTCGGTCTGTAATTGCTTTTTTTTTTTTAATATACATATTAATTATTATTTGCAGGAAGGGAGGGCTGAAGTTGCAACGTCAATGTATTATAGTAGTAGAAGTGGAGACAGGTTTGTCTGCTGTGCTATTTATTTTCGCAACAAATATATTTTCGAAAATCATCTTAAAATTTGTTTCGTTTCAAATTCCTTTTCTCTAAGCTGGTGTGGTATTTATATACGTAAGGTCTATTAATTTGCATATTCTTTATATTGGCTGCTGAATTTATAGAGAGACAACACCGACTTCTAGCGATCTTGGAGAGGAGTCGACCTCAGAGAACATGGATTCAACGGCAAACCCACCATTGAAGAAGCCGAATCCTCATCAAAGATCAACGCCCGCGGCGGGGCTGATAAGGATAACAGATGAAGAGATTGAAAAGTTCTTCGGCGAAATACAGAAAAACATTCCGCAATGCTTCAAAGACAAGTAAGGAGAAGAGATATTGTGCATGCACATGAAAACTAATCTACTCTAAGAAAATCTGGCTTTAAAACTAAACGGGATTAAATTTGTTTAGTTTATGTTGTTGTCCGTGCAGGTATAACTTTGATTTTGACAACGATGAGCCGTTGGAAGGACGTTATGAATGGGCTAGATTAAATCCATGAAGAAAAAAGAAGAAATTAACAATGGCGTTTGTTTAGGTCATGATCATAAATAATATGATCCCCTACTCTGGATTTATTAAATTTACAATTACTAATTTAGAGCTACTCCACTCCTCAGTTAGGAAGATTTTTTTTACAAAAAAACTCCATCTTTGTTGGTCTATGTACAGTCTCTTCTCTATGTTTATTAGAATCTCAGTTTTACCCCCCCTCCTCTAACCTTCGCATCCCCACGTGGCTCTCTCTAATTCGCCTAGAGTCCGGCGCTTTCTCCCAACGGCCTCTTAATCCTCATAACGGCGCCGTCAAGCTCCCCGTTACAGATTTCCCGTCGCTGTTAACGGACTCTGGACCACCCACCCAGAAAATTAAAAAAAATAAAATAAAATCAATTCCATCCCTTAAATACCACCAAATCAATCCCTTCCGTCAACAAACACACCCACACCAACAGCAAAATATCAGAGACTGCGAAGCTCTAGCAATACTACAAGTGGCCGTAGGGAGAGCGATTGGAAAACTAGCAATGGTGAAAGTTGCTACTGCTCAAGTTGGGGTGACAAGTAGTAGAGCTTCGGCGCAAACTTCAAAGAGAAGATCAAGGCATATCAGGATTTCTATTGAATTTAGAAGCAATGATAGTAACCACCGCCGCCGCCGCCGCCGCCAAGACGTTATAATTAGGTCTGAAAATCCAGTTCCATGTAAACCAGATGCTAATTCCGGTGACCGGACGGTGACTGAAGAGAGATATTCAACTTCAAGCCCTAAGTTGGAAGACGATGATGATGATGATGCATTAATGTCAGCTTCTTGTTGTTCTAGTAATGGATCGTGTGATGATGAGAGGATTAAATTCACAGATCTGGAGGTGAGAATTACATCAATTCTCCCTTCTTCAATTCTTGAATTAATTTTCGGTCTGTAATTGCTTTTTTTTTTTTAATATACATATTAATTATTATTTGCAGGAAGGGAGGGCTGAAGTTGCAACGTCAATGTATTATAGTAGTAGAAGTGGAGACAGGTTTGTCTGCTGTGCTATTTATTTTCGCAACAAATATATTTTCGAAAATCATCTTAAAATTTGTTTCGTTTCAAATTCCTTTTCTCTAAGCTGGTGTGGTATTTATATACGTAAGGTCTATTAATTTGCATATTCTTTATATTGGCTGCTGAATTTATAGAGAGACAACACCGACTTCTAGCGATCTTGGAGAGGAGTCGACCTCAGAGAACATGGATTCAACGGCAAACCCACCATTGAAGAAGCCGAATCCTCATCAAAGATCAACGCCCGCGGCGGGGCTGATAAGGATAACAGATGAAGAGATTGAAAAGTTCTTCGGCGAAATACAGAAAAACATTCCGCAATGCTTCAAAGACAAGTAAGGAGAAGAGATATTGTGCATGCACATGAAAACTAATCTACTCTAAGAAAATCTGGCTTTAAAACTAAACGGGATTAAATTTGTTTAATTTATGTTGTTGTCCGTGCAGGTATAACTTTGATTTTGACAACGATGAGCCGTTGGAAGGACGTTATGAATGGGCTAGATTAAATCCATGAAGAAAAAAGAAGAAATTAACAATGGCGTTTGTTTAGGTCATGATCATAAATAATATGATCCCCTACTCTGGATTTATTAAATTTACAATTACTAATTTAGAGCTACTCCACTCCTCAGTTAGGAAGATTTTTTTTACAAAAAAACTCCATCTTTGTTGGTCTATGTACAGTCTCTTCTCTATGTTTATTAGAATCTCAGTTTCATCTGTCTTTGTACTATACGGTACTGGTAGTAGTGATCATAAGTCATAACAAGGAGAAGCTTCTTTCCTGTTTTTCTTCTGCTGCAAGGAAAAAAAGAAGAAAATTTGCAGGGTTTGATAGAAGAGACCCACCTGGGGAGGAGCACAGACTGTAAATAATCAAGCTGATTGTATTAGATTCTTATTATTTCTGGGCAACTATGATCTATCCACTTCCTGCAAAGTCTGATTCTTTCTTCTCTTTGTGGTACCGCAAGATTTTCAGCTTTTTCAGCAAGAAATTGAAAAAAGGGATTTCTTTCTTTGTCGTTATTCATTTAATTTAATTCTGATTTATGTGTTTTACAATGATACAATTCTTTGAAAAAAATAAAAAGAAATTACAAAAAGAAAAGCATGATAGAGACATCAAGAGAGAGAGAGAGAGTGGTGTGGTCATTCGGCGGGCTGGGTTAGGAGGAGGCAAGTGCACGCACCATGCCATGGAAGTTATCGACACGAGGTCAAGTACAGAAAATTTATCTTGTTCCATCTTAGAGTGTTTTTTTTTTTACTTTTTCACTATTTAAAAGTTCTTGTGAGGACGTGTGGTGTGAAAGAAAATATTGGAGTTTTTTATTATAAAAAATAAAATAAAAGTACAAATATAAAAGCACATTTATAAATCAATCATTCATTGTTCTCAACCATATATAATAATAGAAATATATATAAGATACTAGAGATGCATAGTAATTAAAAATTTTATTTATTAAATAAAAGTATAGCTTTATGCAATCATTATACTTGAAGAATCACTAAAAAAAATATACAATAAAAATAAAGGAATTATCCTTTAAAGTAAATACAAATTTTATTTAAGTAAACCTTATCTATACCATATACTTAAAAAATTAATAAGATATATATATATATATATATATAAAATAAGAATAATAATAAATCAAAATTTAACAAGCATAAAATATCATGAAAACCCACGGTATCAAGTAATATACTTGAACCCAGTGTTATAAATTAAGCTAATAGAAGAGCCTACCTCCATTGAGCTCAACTAAGAAAAATACCTATATTTATTAGACTTAATCAAAAGGAAATGACCTACTTCCTTTTGATTCAACTTAGAAGAAGAACTCAACACCACAACCTTTCAAGAATAGGATAAACTAAGTTTTTTTAGTGCGATTGTATAATTTACCTTGAGATGAATGAATTTAAAACTTCTTAGTATAAGTGCATTACTCTTAAAAAATGAAATTGATACGAAGGCTCTTTAGAAAAATAACCTTACAACTTTTTAATGGATTGATATAAGATTTTCTTAGGGAAATAACCCTACAACTCTTTAAGGGATGACCTTGGACTCTTTAGTGCAGTAATAGCACTCTCCAAGGAACCTACAATCACTTAGAAATTTCTAAATATGAGCTTCATCTTTCAATAAGAGTTCCTCTAATAAGTTCGGAGATGTTAATTTCTCCTATAGAAGTTTCTCCAAATAGAGTTTTAACCTTACAACTCTTTAATGGATTGATATGAGATCTCCTTAGGTAAATAACCCCACAACTTTTTAAGAGATGAACTTGGACTCTTTAGTGCAATAGCATCACTCTTCAAGGAACCTACAATCATTTAGAAATTTTTTAAGTATGAGATTCATCTTTCAGTGAGAGTTTCTCTAATGAGTTTGTAGATGTTAGTTTCTTCAAAAGAAGTTTCTCCAAATAGAGTTCTTTTATAGGGAGTTAAGTTCCACTAAGGGGAGTTCCTTTAAAGGGAGTTAAGTTTTTCCAAAGAGTTTGGAGATGAAAGTTCTTTCAATGTAACTTAGTTTATTCTTTTTGAAATTTTCTGTCTTTTTAGAATGTACATAAATAATTAACGAGTAAAATCTTAGGTTGTTTCGTTATTGATATGTGATTATATGATGTTTTAATCCAAATATATCATAGTCTTTTAAAATTCAAAATTTGTATTAGAATCCATTAATTTGTAGTATAGGTGAGCAATTGTTGGCATAAGAATCATAATAAACAAAACACATAAAACAATGAAAACACTGATAAAAATATTGATATAATATTCTTTCCAATGCTAATGAAATATTTTGTCAGCAATTCCTTTGGTGTTTTCTAATATTGATGGAATTGTTGATAAAATAGAAAACCTCGATAAGAAAATCTTTATGATAATATTCCATCGTCTATTTCATCAACATTAGGAAATATTGATTGAATTTTCATTATATTCCAACATAATATTTCATTGGTATTTTCCAATTTTCTAGTAATGTTTCCATTTATGGTTTGAGTTTTTTCTTTATTTCTTAAACAACATTTGCCTTAGAAGGATGTATGCTAGTTCTTCAGTGACAAGCTAGTCTTAATGGATTGTTTAAAATGATAAGTTTGTCACAACCAAATGACCAAGAGCATTTGCAAAGTTTCTCTCCCTGATGGTTATTGGCATGTTGGTGTATTTTTACACCATGTTTGAACTATTAGGTATGGAAGCATAAAAAATATCATAATAATCAAACATAATCTTTCCTAATAAATCATCAAACTAAGCAAGTTGTCATAATAAATCAACACCAAGAATTTTATCTTAAAAATCTTGATACGGGAAAATACCACCATTTTTAATATATTTTAGCTCACCCACTTTAAAATAAGCCATCATTGGAATTTTATACCTAGTCACCTAAAAGGAATTAATCTTTTACCCTAATTTTCTTTGTTTATATAGGTTATGACATAAAAAAAGGACCAAACCTAATAATTCTCCCCCTCTTAACTTATTTAAAAGGTTTCACCAAACTCACTTGCCTTCTATATATCTTAAACTTTTTTTTATAGAAAATATCTGATAATCATATCTAAAATATTTTTATTGGTATGAATCTTCTATTAGATTCACTAGTATCTAACCTCAATGTGCTTTGATTGAGAATAAAAATAGGATGCTTACTAATATACATTGCATTTTAATTATCATAGTGCAATACAAAATTCTTTTACACTATGTCAAGTTTATATAAGAACATCATCCATAACAACTTTTTTTCTCTTTTTAATAAGAGTAATGTATCTAATCCCTATAGTGGATATTACCACACATTTTCATAACTTTTATTGTCATGAAGTTACTTCCCCTGTAAATGTCATTAAATATCCCAATACGAAATTTCTAGAATATATATAAAGCACATGTGTATAATTACTAAAATATAAACTAAAACTAAAATTACTTTTGAAATAATTAAGTGTCCATTTCATTGTTGACTAATGTTATTTATCAAGATCAGAAAGGAACTAATTGCCATACCCCACACTAATAACATGAGTTATATCTAGCCTTGTGTAAACCATGACATGTATTAAGTTACCAATTGTGAATCCATAAAGAATCTTTTTTATCTTTTTTTTATTTATTTATCACTTGAAAGATACTATTTAGAACTTAGTTTAATTTGACTTACAAATGAAGAACAATCAAGTTTAGACTATTCATGTTGAATCTCTTAAATACTTTTTAACATGTCTCTGTTAAGATGGACAAAGTTTTATATTCTTTTTATCACAAGTAATGTTTATGCTACCAGTTGTAAGTTTTTCATTACAAAAAACTTGTTTAACCTTTTTTTAAAACTCCAGATTTTCTTAATATTATAGCCAACAATCAACATATCATCTATATATAAAAAGAGAATAATAAAGTTACTATAAGAATTTTATAAAAACACCATAATCAAAAGTGGTCCTACCCATAACAATACTCCATTATGAAAAAATCAAACTTTTTATACCACTAATATGGAGCTTACTTTAACCTATACAAGCTTTTCTTCAACTTGTAAACTAGTTACTTTTCACCTTTCACTTCACCTCCTTTAAGATGTTCCATGGAAATCTCCTTATCTAAGTTATCATGGATGAAAATAATTTTCACATCATGCTATTCAACTTTAAAATTCAAACTAGTAGCTAAATCAAATATAACTCGGATTGAAGATATATTGATCATAGATGAAAATTTTTCCTTAAATTAAATAACATTCTTCTAAACAAAGCCTTTCACGATTAATATTGTATTGTACCTTGATTGTTAGCAACTTTCTTTAAATTTTAACTTGAAAATCCATTTGTGTTTTACTGTTATTTTGCCTTTAGAAAGTTTCATTAAATCAAAAGTGTGGTTCTTATGCAAAAAATTAATATGTTCTTGTATAGCTTTTAACCACTATTTTTTTTTATATGACAAAATTTTATCAAAGCATTTTGACTCTTTTCTATTAATAACTTACTTATGCTCATGAGAAGAATATCTAGTGGATGCTTGGTGAGGTTTACTAGACCTCTTTAACAATAATTTATCTAAAGCTTTTTAAATCACATGTTTAAGAATAACATCACCATCATCATTATTTGGCTTAGTATAATCTAATAATGGCTAAAAAGGCAAAATACTATTATCATTATTTTCAAATCTATATAATGATTAAAAGTAATTGGGGAGTAGGTTTTGAGTCCTAATTAGTAGGAATAAAATTATTAGACTCTATTTTTTTTTTGTGTTGATTTGACCTTTTTTTTCCGGATGCTATAACATATCGCCAAACTTATTATTTTTATAATCCAGAAAAACACATTGTTATGTTTTATTATTAAGCTTATACTTTTCATATCTTGAAAAATATATAAATACCTTGCAACCAAATATTGTTAAGTATATATAAAAAACATCCTTTTCTTTTCATACTTTTTTTGGAACATAAAAGTCAAAAGGAACTAATGGAGAAAGGTTGATCATAGAAACTTTGAAATACATTGTTTTATCCATAGCTGCCAAGTCTTGTTGAACCCATATGATCCAAAATCCACAGGATGTAGTGCCACAAGATGGAGTCAAAAGCCTTCTGAAAATCTATTTGGAGCTGTCACAACTCCACATAACATCCGTAACCTCTTCTATAGCCACCATTTTCTCCAGTTCTGCAGCCGATTCTACACATAG